AAAAAAAAAAAAAAAAAAAAAGGAAAGAAAAAGAAGAAAAGGGGATTCGAGATCGAGGAGGGAAAGGAAAAAAAGGAAGGAAAGGATTATTATTATTATTGTTATTATTATGCACGCGACACCGTACTCGGATGTTTCCATCGATTTGTCGCAGTTTCTATTGAAACTCACGGGTGTATGGATGACGGTGAACGACGGTGAGAAACGTCGGAGGAGGATCGCTATGGCGTACACCTTCGTCATCCAGGTTTACGGCTTGTATCTGAATATCGGTGACATTTATCACAGTTGGGACGATTTAAGCGTACGTATTGGGGGGAGGAGGAGAAGGGAGAAAGGAAATTAAAAATTATAGAATTATAGAATTTTATAAAATGATTTCTACGATTTCTTCTTTTCTTGTTATGTAATAATTGTTTCCTTTCTTCCACAAAATGATTTTATATTATATTTTAGTTTTTCCAAAGGGATGAATTAAAGTAAATAAAGATACAGATGATATGATAATTGATTAAATTCTTTTCAGCATTGTATCTTCTTGACTTGTAATACATTGTGCATCGTGTTGGCGATGTTCAAGTGTTTGATATTGTTCATCCGTAGAACGGAATTCAAGAATTTAATTTTGTTCGCTCGACAGAATTTTTGGCACTTCAGTTACCACGATCATAACGAGAGGATACTTTTCACGAAGTGCCGGAAATTTTGCACGTTGTGGACCTTAACCGCGTTCTCGTTCACTCAAGCCTCTTTGACTTTCTATATAATCACGCCAATATGCGGTAAGTGTGCAAATTCATCAATGAAACAGTATATTTACATGTTATCCAAATGGTCAATCAAAAATATTCAAGATTCTTCATTCGAGTAATTAAATAAATATTCATTTTATGAATTTATTAATTATCAGAATAAAATTAAATTTTCAATTTTATTGTATAACATTATATATTTTAATGTTTATAAGAATATTAATTGAGTTAAATCGAACTCCATTTGATTTAATTGAAGGAGAATCAGAATTAGTTTCTGGGTTTAATGTTGAATATCATAGAAGAATATTTGTTTTAATTTTTTTATCAGAGTATATAAATATTATATTTATAAGATTAGTATTGATTATAATATTTTATGGATTTAGGTATTGATCATTTATATTTATTTTAACATTTATTTTTCATATTTGTTTAATTATTTGAGTTCGTAGAATTTTACCTCGAATTCGATTTGATAAGTTAATATATATATGTTGAACAGAAATATTAATATTAGTAATAATTTATTTATTATATCTATATTTAATAAAAGAATTATTAATAAATTAGATATTTTAATAAAGTTAAGTTAATAAAATATAAAGTTCAATTGGATTTACATCGACTTTGAAATGGATAAAAATTAGTTGATCGAATAGAAAAATTAGAAAAAAGTGTTTCAAAATTCCCGCGTTTTTCAGCGAATATCGGGAAAAACAAATCAGACAGGATACTTCCGTTCAAAATGTGGATCGATTTCCCATTAAGTGAGACGCCATATTACGAAATAATGTTCGTCATCCAGGTATTTCATATTCTTTTCAAAATAATTTAAATTTATGGAAAAATTACTTTAAAATACAATTTAATATCGATCTTCTATAGATGAACATATTTTTCATATTAGTGATAGAATTTTTAAATACACAATTAATCCTCCAATTTTTTAAATACTTAAAACATTCATCGAGCAAAGATCCTTCAAATTCGAGAATAAAATTTTAGTTTAAATATAATATATAAATATATATATATATATTTTTTTTTATAATAATCATTACCTTTGCAAGGTATTAAAAGATAAAAATAGATTATCAATATAATTTGATAAACATAATTTTATGGTAAATCAAAAATATTCAAGATTCTTTGTTCAAGTAATTAAATAAATGTATAAAGTTCAATTGGATTTACATCGATTTTGAAACGCATGAATGGATAAAAATTATCTTCTAAATTGTGAACAATTTAAAAAAAAAAAAAGAAAAGAAAGATCTTTAAAGCGCGTAATATTCCCGTTAGTTACTTACAGTGCAACAAATAGGTATCGCTTACACGTGCAACGACAACTTCTTATGCGTGTTGAACATGCACGTGGTCTGCCAATTTCGTATACTGCAGCACAGATTATCGAAACTGTGGTCAATAATTGACGAGCGAACGGATAAAATCAATTACGCGAGCAAGTGTTACGAAGCGTTGAAAGAGTGCATACGACAGCATCAATCGTTGATCGAATTCTGCGACAAGCTCGAATACGTCTATACATTACCTATCTTCGGCCATGTTGTGGTGTTTAGCTTGCTAATGTGCTTCGACACGTACGAGATATTTCTGGTACGTATCAACAATATAGATTTGTTTTTATTATATCGAAATATCAAATTTTGACAATTGATAACATTATATGATCTTCTAATTGATAATTATATGAATTATATAATTCGTTCAATTTTAGAACAGAGCATGCACGATTGAATGTGATTTTTCACAATCAAAAGAATAATATATATTGAAATTAATATTTCCCTCTTGTTGTTTAATTAATCGAATGTAACAATTTTATTATCAATTTCGTTCCAATGTCATATTTCTTCGTTTCTTGTTTTTTAAATTTCGATTACAAATATCTTATCTTCGAAATTTATTTCTCGAAACAATAAACACGAATAATTACGTTAATAATTTTATATTATATATTTTATATGTTATATATTATAATTTTTATAATTATATATTATATATTTTTAAATAATAATAATGTTATGTACTATGCACACAGGCAAACGTACCTATTTCGATGCGTCTCATTTTCTTTTTCCACATGGTCGGTAGTTTCATCCATATAATTTTC